CAGTCCTCTTTTGATGGACAGCATGGTTGATTCCAGGTTCTTACTATTGTGAACAATGCTATGATAAACATATGTGTGCAGGTATCTTTTTTTATAGAGTGATTTGAGTTCTTCAGGGTATATTCCCAGTAGGAGGATTGCAGGGTCATGTGGGAGGTCAATATTTAGAGCTTTTAGGAATCACCATACTGTTTTCCACAGAGTTGCATACTCCTAAACGGACAAAAATTGGAACTATTTCCCCTGAAAACTGGAACAAGACAAGGATGCCCACTCTCACCCCTCCTGTTCAATATAGTATTGGAAGTCCTGTCTAGAGCAATCAGAGAAGAGAAGGCAATCAGAGGTATCCAAATAGGAAAAGAGGAAGTCAAGTTATCTCTCTTTGCAGATGACATGATTGTGTACCTTGAAAACCCAAGGGAATCTGTCAAAAACCTCCTCACACTGATAAAGGACTTTGGCAATGTCTCAGGATATAAAATAAATGTGCAAAAGACAATTGCATTTCTTTACAGCAATAAAAAACAAACAGAAACCCAAATAAAAAGCACAATTCCATTCACAATAGCCACAGAAAAAATGAAATACCTTGGCATCTTCCTAACCAGAAACGTAAAAGACCTTTACAATGAAAACTACAAAGCACTGCTCAAAGAAATCAAAGATGACACAAACAAGTGGAAAAATATCCCATGCTCATGGATTGGAAGAATCAACATTGTGAAGATGTCCATCCTACCTAAGGCAATCTACAGATTTAATGCAATACCCATCAAATTACCAGCAACATTCTTCTCAGACCTAGAAAAAACAATACAGGAATTCATATGGAAACACAAACGACTAAGAATAGCCAGAACAATCCTCAGCAAAAAAAAAAGCAAAGGAGGTGATATCACATTACCAGAAAACATCTTGACCTCTTTTTTGTGTAGCACTTAGAAAGGGACGAAACCAGAGTAAATTAAATTTCACGGTCACCTGGCCTAATTATCTTCTACACCCAGGTGAATTTGGTTTTATTTTTGTTCTGTAAGTGGTTTGGGGTTACATGCGTGCATTGTATAGAATTTGGTTTTAAGTGAACACTGAAAAGAGTTTTTAATTAGAAAGTTCTACTTAATGGTAGTATATGAAAGAGGGGGAACATGTGAAGGAAGAAGTGTAAAGAAATACCTTTAACCTAGCATGTAACAAGGGGAGAGGTGTGAGGTTCTGCAGTTCAGAGGTTACTTTCCATGTTTCATCTGGAAAAGAGTTCAGAGGTACACTGCGATTTTAAAAGAAACAGTCAACCTCTTACCTGCTATTTGTTCTTTCTCCCTGAAAGTTCGTGCAGCTAAAACTCCTTAAAAGAAAAAGGGAAAAAAAATCCTAAGAATGAAAATAGGGGATTATCATACTGAACAAGAAATGTGACAAATACTAGAAGACCTGTTAGCAAGTTAGATTTTTTTAAAAATCTGTGTTTCACCATGTTCTTTTTAGTACTTAGTATATATCATTTTAAAAATTTCAGTCATCTCATCTACTATCAGGAGAGCCAAACATGTCTTTTCCTCCTTGGGTGAGAATTTCCAAAGGAAAAGTTACGTCCTTCCCTGAGAATTAGCTTTATTGTGGCAGTAGTCAGCTAAGTAAGAAAACTCCAAACAGAAGGGGACTCATGAGGACCAAATACAGGGCAGTTAGTCAGCTCAGCCTCACTCCAGTGGCTGTACATAAAAGATCTGCTTATGTGAACAAAGGAAGTTGCCATCCCATGCAGAGACAATGGCAAAGGAGAAAGGAATGACATCCTGACATTTTACCTTTAAGTGAGTGATTCTTAGCACTAACTAAGCAATATATTTCAACGTGTCCTACCTGCTGCACATCCACTGAGACTCTGAAACGTTTTTGTCTTACCTTTGTGCTCCATGTCCAACCTCTCTTTAGAGAAATTGCTTCTTGAAGGCAGTTCTTCCTAGATTTTGCATCCTAGAGTACCTCCTAGATATTCAATACATATTTCTTGAATAAAAAAATGAAAACTAAGTTCCCTGCCACTTTACAGGGCAAGCTTCCAAAAAAAGGGAGCAGCCATCACTAGTGAGTTTCTAACTTCCTAGCAGTGTAGGATTTCATCGCTGAGTAATTTTAAATCATTCACTGGAGACAATGTTAAGTTGCCTCTGTGCTGAATTACTTATCAAAGAGTTTAGGTTGAAAGAGAAATGCTGTTATGGGATGAACTGTACCCCCTAAAAATTCATATGCTGAAGCGCCAACTCCCAGTACCTCAGTATATGACTATATTTGGAGACAGGTCCTTTAAAGAGGTGATTAAATTAAAATGAGGTCATGAGTAAGCCCTAATCCAATATGACTGGTGTCCTTATAAGAAGAAGAGATTAAGACATACAGAGATGGATGGATGGATGGATGGATGGATGGATGGATGGATGCACGCAGAGGAGAAAGTATGTGAGAATAAAGCAAGAAGGTAGCCTTCTGCAGACCAACGAGAGAGCCTTCAGAAGAAACAAAACCTACTGACATTTTTATCTTGAACTGCCAGCCTCCAGAACTATGAAAAAATAAATTTCTGATATTTAAGCCACCTTTTCAATGATATTTTGTTATAGCAGCCCTAAGAGACTAACAGA